TTACAAAATTACAAACGTCAATTCGAGTTAACGCAAATGGAGGACAAAGAAATGATCAACGATTACATCACGCGCATTACCCGGTTAGTAAACCAAATTAAGTCATGTGGCAAAATGATCCTTGAGCAGAATGTTGTATCGAAAGTGTTGCGTTCGTTAACATCACGTTTCGATAACATTGTTGTGGCTATTGAGGAGTCAAAGGATCTAGCAACTTTTAGCAAAGATGAGTTGCAAAGTTCATTAGAGGCGCATGAACAAAGGATGGATGAGAGAAGTGCCGACAAAGCCAAAGCGGAGATCGCTTTGCAAGCGCGTTTACATGAGAAGAACAATAGATCGAAAGGGAAGTGGACTTCTAAAAATAAGAAGAATTTTGGTGGAAAATATCCACAAAATTCAAAGGGTGAAGGAAGCACCAAAGATGATAATCAAAGCGCCCACAAACCGTTTGACAAAAGTTTTGTGAAGTGTTATAATTGTCAAAAGCTTGGACATTTTGCGAAAGAATGTCGCTCAAAACGCAAGGAAAAGGATGCGGATGAGGCTAAGGTTGCTAGGGAAGAGGTAGATGATGAAGATACCCTTCTTGTGATGATTACGAAAGAGAATTATGGCATTGTTGATGTTCCGGACAGCAGCTACTGTGGTAATAGTCTGCTGGACAGCAGCTGTGCAGCTTCGGAAAGTGGTGGAAAAATGCATTCAGATCGAAATGCATTACTTACTATGTGTGATGAAGTTCAAAGTAAAGATGAGTGGTACTTGGATTCCGGTTGTTCAACACATATGACGGGTCGAAAGGATTGGTTTGTGCAAATCAATCAAGCGGCAAAGAGTAAAGTCAAGTTTGCCGATGACACCACTTTAAGAGCCGAAGGGGTAGGAGATGTTTTGATCGGAAGAAAGAATGGTGGACACTCTAGGATCAAAGATGTCTTGTAAATACCGGTAATTAAGTGAAATCTTTTAAGCATTGACCAATTACTTGAAAGAGGGTACTTAATTCGGTTGGAGAACAAGATGTTACGCGTTTTAGATTCAAACGGTGTGTTGATTCTAAAAGCGCTGATGGCTGCCAATAGAACTTTTAAGGTTGAGTTAAAGGTTATGGAGCATCGTTGTTTAGCTACCGCGGCAAGTAGAGATGAGTGGTTATGGCATTACCGTCTTGGTCACCTAAACTTTAGGGATCTTAAAATGTTGCAACAAAGTGAAATGGTAACGGGGCTGCCACATGTTAGTGTTCCGACAGAATTATGTGAGGAATGTGTGAAGAGTAAGCAACACAAGAATGTGTTTAGCAAGGATGAGGGTCGAAGAACCAAAGGCTTACTTGAGGTGGTGTATTCCGATGTTTTTGGACCGATGCAAGTAGAGAGTTATGGCGGCAATCGATATTTTGTTACGTTCATTGACGATTTTAGTAGGAAGCTTTGGACATATCTTATCAAGAGAAAGGATGAGGTGTTTGGAGTGTTCAAGAGTTTCAAATCCATGGTGGAGCGTCAAAGCGGTCGGAAGCTCAAAATTCTCAAAACGGATGGTGGAGGTGAATATACCTCTAGTGAGTTTGGGAAGTTTTGTGATATTGAGGGTATTGTGCATGAGGTGGTGCCTCCATATACGCCTCAATAAAATGGAGCTGCCGAGAGGAAAAATCGTACAATAATGAACAAGGTGCGTAGTATGCTTTATGGGAAGAAGTTAACTAAAGAATTGTGGGGTGAGGCCGTGTCTACAGCCACCTACTTGTTGAATAGGTGTCCTACTAAGAAGCTGGAGAAAATTACACCAGAAGAGGTTTGGAGTGGTTTCAAACCGAGTGTGAATCATTTGCGCATTTTTGGATCGATTGCATATCGTCATGTACCGAATCAACTTAGAAAGAAATTGGATGATAAAGGTGAGAAATTGATATTTGTTGGATATCACTCTACGGGAGGTTACAAGATATTTGATGAGAGGAATCGGAAAATCGTGATAACCCGGGATGTGCAGTTTGATGAAATAAAAACTGCTGAAACAGTAGGTGAACAGCAGTAGCAGTTTGTTGCTAATCGGTTACATCCTGCTGAACAACAGCAGTTTGTTGATTTGTTTGATCCGGAGAATTCCGATGCCGCTGTACCTGCACCTATAGTAGCGGAAAATGATGTTGTGAATAATGGTAGACCAGTGAGGCAAAGAGCCTTGCCTCATAGACTCCGAGATTGCGAAAGGTTCCAAGATAACAAAGTGAGTAATGATGGTGATTTTGTTCATTTCGCGCTTATGTTTGAATCTGAACCGGTAAATGAGAAGGAAGCCTTAAGTGATCCTAAATGGATATGTGCAATGAAAGAGGAGCTGGAATCTATTGAGAAAAACGGTACTTGGGAGTTGGTCGATTTACCACTTGGAAAGAAACCGATAGGTGTGCGATGGGTCTATAAAGTTAAAGCAAATCCTAAAGGTGAAGTAATCAAGCACAAAGCTCGATTAGTGGCGAAAGGGTTCTTGCAACGTGAAGGCATATACTACGAGGAGGTATTCGCACCAGTGGCTAGATTGGAGACTATTCATTTGGTTGTTGGAATTGCGCATAGTAACAATTGGGTGATTTACCAAATGGATGTGAAATCTGCGTTTTTGAATGGTCCTCTTGATGAGGAGGTTTATGTGGGGAAGCCACCCGGTTTTGTGATCAAAAATCAAGAGAGGAAAACTACAAGCTACACAAGGCGTTGTATGGTTTGAAACAAGCTCCGAGAGCTTGGAACAAACGTATAGACGGCTTTCTTATTGACATCGATTTCAAACGGTGTGTATCCGAACATGGTGTCTATGTGAGATCGAATACTATTGATGGTGTTATTATACTTTGCTTGTATGTTGATGATCTCTTGATTACGGGCAGCAATAACAAGAGTATTTCAAGGTTCAAAGTGGAGCTCATGAGTGAGTTTGAGATGACAGACCTTGGTGTCATGAGTTACTTTCTTGGTATAGAGTTTCACAAGTCAAAAGTGTGGCTGTTTATGCATCAAAGGAGGTATGCTCTAGATATCTTGAAAAAGTGTGAGATGGAGCATTGTAATGCTTCTATTACACCCTGTGAGGCTAGAGTACAGCTGTCCAAAAGTGATGATGAGGATGATGTGGATCCAACACTTTACCAGAGTTTGATTGGGTCGTTACGGTACTTATGCAATACTCGACCGGATTTGGCTTTTAGTGTCGGTATTGCGAGTAGATTCATGGAGAGACCTAAGGTGTCTCACTTGGCGGTGGTCAAGAGAATCCTTAGATATGTGAAAGGTACTCTTGGTTGTGGTATTTTGTTTCCCACATCAGATATGGGTCGCAAATGTACTTTATTTGGCTACACCGATTCTAATTGGTGCGGAGATAAAGATGATCGGAAATCTACGGCGGGTTACATCTTTATGTTCGGTAGTACACCAATCTCATGGTGTTCGAAAAAGGAACCGGTTGTAGCACTCTCTTCTTATGAGGCCGAGTACATTGTGGCATCATTGAGTGCTTGCCAAGCTATGTGGTTAGTGAATCTTATGAAGGAATTGGGATGTGGTGATGATGATGCCACCACACTGTTTGTGGATAATGTTTCCGCGATAAATCTTGCGAAGAATCCGATTGCACACGGAAGAAGCAAGCATATTGAGATGCGGTTTCATTACTTGAGAGAATTGGTTGGTGATGGAAAGCTTAGATTGAGCTATTGCTGAAGCGAGGACCAAGTTGCGGATTTGTTAACCAAGGGTGTGACAAATGAAGTGTTCAAGAGACTGTTGAAGAGCTTGAGCATGATGAACTTGGAGCAACTAAAGTGAGGTGGTGTGTTGTGAGCTGTTAAAAATCTATTACAGCTGTTAGTTTTTTGGAAAATAGCAGAATTTAACAGCATGACACTTTAGTTGGTTTTGGTTACTAGTTGTACTATTCTCTCGTGTGTATATATACATTGTTGTAATCCCAATTCAATATTAATCCCACTTTTGATTCACCAATATTACTCTCTACCCTAATTCTCTCTCTCTCATTTCATCTTTATCAAGTTTCTTTTCACCACTGTTACTACCTTCAAAGCTCTGATTTTATGTTTTATGTTGTTTTAACATATAGTACAACCAACATTCAAACAATAATTGTTCTTCAAAGATCAATGTTAGCTTAAACGATTATCAGATAAACATCACGATAAAAACATATAATATAATTGTTCAACTATCACAACAAAATTCTAGGTGGAAGTGAAAACAAATTACAAATCTGGTTTTTGTCTTTTCAGATAGTAGCCATCCATCTATACATCTCAATCAGTATAGAAACATATTAAAATCTTTTATAATAAAATTTCATTTATTTTATTTTATTTATTAAATTGTCACTATAATTTTTTTACATCGGTTCAACTCTAAGTCTAATGTAAAAAAATTTATGACAAAATTTTATTTTATTTATCAAACTACTATCACATTTTGTTCACATCAATCTAAATTCAAGTCCGATGTAAAATCTTTTATAACAATTATATTTTATTTATCAAACTACCATCATATTTTTTCACATAGATGCAAATTCAGGATTGATATAAAATCATTGAACTAAATATCTTATTTGTACTATGTCTTTAAAGAGTAATAACGAAGTTGGCAACAATGAATTCCTGGTGAATGAAGAAAGACATTCTCAAAATACTTAATTGTTTTGGATGCTACTAATCTCATCAAATAATTTCTCTTATTCAAATACTCATATATTTATTTTTGAGGCAATTTAATATTCTTACGTAAATCATCGCCATTTTTACTCAAAACTTTGTTAAACTAAATTTATAAAATCGTTTTCAAACAATTTCTAATTTCAAGTCTCAAATTACCAACAATAAATAAATCTAGAAATACAAAATTCTCTTTGTAACCATATGTATGTATTTATTAACTCATCTGCACGGTCTTCTTTTTGAAAAAATTTGGTAAACATCACAAAACCCGTCATGGAAGAAACTGAATAAACCCTTCAACAAGATCAGATTGGTCTTTAAAAAGTGAAATAACCTGAAAAAAAGATCAAATTATAATTAAAATGATTATAACAAAAGAAAAGAAACACAAAAAGCATATAGTAACACAAACCCATACCATTTGTAAAACCTCCTCGCTACTCTTTTCTTTTTTTCTATACATATTCAGTATAGCTAGAAAGGATTGGTAAACATTAGGATCATCTTGAAATTGAGTCTGCATGTAAAGGATCTCTTAGACTCATCTAAGTAAACACAAGTTGAAAAAAATATCAAAGTAATTATATTTAAGATAACTTGCTTTTTTAATTTCTCTATAGGGTTAAATTTATTTGCATATTTATTAAATAATATTGTTATATTTTATTTTGGTGGAAGGACAGATATCTCATATTAATGTGGAAATGTAAAAATGATTGAGAAAGAAAGAAAAATCAATGAAGAGTGAAACAAAATAGTGGATGGCTTCGAAGAATTTTGATAATAATTTTGTTTTAGTTTAGGCATATGAACCTATGTTGTGAAAATTGTTCAATGATTCATTCAAATATGAAAATAAAATGAGTATAAATTAGAAATAATTTGACAATAAGCATACCTTCACTTTCTCTAAATATTTTCTAGCATATTCTATATTTACTTCTGGTTTCTTCACTTCTGACTTCTCTGTCGAAGGTGCGATTTCAAATTCATCTGACAAATAGGTATTAAATTTTAATAACAATTCTCTATGTCCTTCAAACAATTCCTTCACTCTTGCCAGCATACACGCTATCTCAGCTCTAGAAGCAAGAGAAACAAATCAATCATAAAAAAAAAATACAAAATTTAGTATTTCAATATGTACAAACTATACCTTTTTTTCTTGATATCTTTCATGGTCTTTAAAAACTCATTAAACTTGTGCTTCTCATCTTTAAATGCATCCTTTATTTCTTTGATATAAATCTTGGCGTCATCACTTGTTACTTCTTCTTTTGAACTTGATCCCTTCATTTTTTGGAGTTTGTCAATGCAAGTAAATTTTATTACATTAGAGAAAACTAATATTTAACAAAACATTGATTCATAAATCCATAAAATTGTATATCCAACTCATTGGGAGAAAAATTCAGACATTTTGAATATAAATCATCGCATTCTATCTTCCTAATATTCACAAACATATTTTTTTACTAATGTTTGGAAAATCCAAAACTAGGGAGAAAAAACTTCACTACAAATTTTAGATCGATGTTAATTTATAATCAATAACAAAATCAAGTATTAAAAAAAAGAGCACACTCTAATAAATAGGGAAAAAAAACTTATTTGATCAACAATAATGAAAAGACTTTAGATATATAATATTTTTAATAGAAAAATAATAAATTAATAAAAAAATGAATATTACTAAAGTACATAAAAAGTAGAAATCGATAGTACAAAGTATACTAACTAGGCCACCACATCGAATGATACAAAAGGTACACAATCCAAAAGATCATGAAGTAAAAAATCAATAAGAAATCAATAAAACAAGAAAATATGACTATGTTCTATGTGAAATCAAAGGAACTAAAAATCATGAATATAAAAAAGAAGAATCTACAGTAAAAATTACATTACTTTTCAATGTAAATTAAAGTAACTATTAATTTGAAAGAAAGACATCAAAATTTAGAGAGTGACATAGGTATTAATATGGTTAAATCCCAAGGAAACTAATGTAAAATGAAATACATAAACTATTCAGATAAAATAATTAGCTTTGTATTAGAGATTTTTCTTACATACCTTGCTCATCTTCGAAAGCTAAATGAGAGAACAAAAAGGCTTGTGAATTGTTTTTTAGTTTGAGTTTTGATTTTAAACATTTATAAAAGTTTTAATTCTTTTTACCTTTTTGTGAAAATAATTGTTTTTAAATAAATATTTTTAAATGAGATTTGTTCAAATTATGAAAATTTAATTTTGTATACATACACTGAACAATATAAAATATATTTAAAAAAGATCAAATATTTGTTCATATGCACTGAATCACAATTTACCAGATACATTAATATTTGAAGAAATAGTATAAATTAATTGACATTTTAATATGATTACATCGGATTTTAGTATAAAAAAGCATAACTTTTATTTTATTTCAAAGTAGGTTCATATTATTATAATTTTTTAATAGTAAAACTACCGTTTGACCAAAAAATATATATTAACATTGGTGAAAATTTGTTAACATGTATGATATTTGACTTTTGAATTTTATTTCTTGTTTCATCTTTTATTTACAAATATTTTGTTTTCTTTAAAAGAGTTAACTTATAAAATTTGAATATAATACAAATTTTATGTGTCAGATTTTTTGTATAAAAAAATACACCTATGTTTTGTTGTACAATAAGTCATTATTATTTATTTAAAAAAAACCTTATTCAACAAATATAATATAATTAATAGTCCTATTATTTGTACACCTAAGATCAACATCAAATATGCAAAACCGTATTGCATACATTAAAATAAATATAATTTTTTTTGCTTTCATATGCAAAATGAAAAGATAATTTAATATTAAAAAATTTAAAGAGAATTTCTTAAAGAGAATTTCTATTTTTGAAAATCCAAAAATATTTTTTGAATATATATATATATATATATTCAAACGCATTTTATTTATGTAAAAATGATATTTTTGGATATATATTTTTAAATAAATCTTATTTTTTATGAAAAAAAAAGTTTTCATATATACATATTTCGAAAAGTTATTAAAACAGTAATATTAGTAATTAATATTTAATTTAATGGTGAATCTTTTTAAACAGAAACGTTTATGATAAGAGATATATTTAGGTCTCTCCATTTAACTTTATTTTTTAATGTGCTCTTTTTTATTTTCTGTTTATATTTTATTTTTTATTTCTTAATTGATCTGACCTGATCAGACTTGGACCGTCACGGCTGGCTCCGAGCTGAAAGTTTTGAACGAGGTGGGGGAGTACCTGCAAGACACTCCGATGCTACAGTAAGTAAGAGTACGAGCAGGCAATAGTAAGTATGGGTAGAATGATGAATACCTGACCCTCTGGAAACAGAGGGTATTTATAGCCCCCAGCGTTGGGCCAAGGTTCCTTCATTGGGCCGGGCAGGTTTGGCCCAATGGAGGAACTGCCAGGTTCTACGTTCGTAGTGGGGACCCGCACGTGGTCCCCTCCCTGGATGTTCTGCGTGAAGTGCGGGCGGACAGAGACGCGGTCTTTTCAGGGTCTCGTTGGGAGTGCAGTGGAATGAGTCTGCCCTAGTTGGAGGTCGAGCAGGATGTCGAGCTGGACAGTAGGACGTCGAGCTGGACAGTTGGAGGTCGAGCAAGTAACCTCAGGGAGCACGTCGGGCACGACTGTGACCCTTTGGTCGGCGTGGCCCTCGGCAAGTCCGTTTGGATTGGGCCTTATCAATGCTATTGGGCCTGTTGGGCCCAGTCCAGAACAGGAGCCCCCCAAGTCGTGGTTCCTTGGGTTAGGAGCCATGGCTTGATCTTGGGTTGTTTCCGTTTCGGGGTCTCGCGCCTGGGTCAGAGGTGCAGCTCCTCGAGGGCTTCTCCGTGTCGTGCTCGGAGACAGATCCTTCGCGGAGGATGCTCGGGGATTCCTCACCGGAGCGCGTCTGTCGAGCACACGAGGTATCTTTCGGGAACTGTGCCGCCACCCTATGATGATAGAGTCATAATTGCCTTGGGAGCCGTGCGTCGAGGAGAGAAACTCCGTGGTTGCCCGAGGTGACGTTTGGTATTCCACGTCATCACTATAAATAGGGTCCTTGGGCCCCATAACGCGTTACTACTCTTTGCGCTCCTACTGCTGCTGTTCTTCCAGATTTTCATAGCGTAGCTGCGATTCCCGTCACAGATTCCTTTCTTCCGTTGCAGAACCCACTCCTTGATTCCAAGTAAGTGATCTATCCTCTTTGTTTTCCTGTTGTGATGCATGGTTTTGATCGTTGTAGACGTTTTAGGGACTGTGCGCGTGGGACTAGCCCGGTAGATTCACGTTTAGCTCGACAAACTCATGCTTAGGATCGACAAACACACGCTCGTGGCCGGTAGATACATGGTTTAGGCTATAGTCTGCAGTGCTGCCCGGGGTCTTCATGATCCAGGGCGCCTGATTCATGATCGTGCCCGGTATGTTCATGGCTCTGGGCGTAGGTTTTATGATGTTGCTCGCCATGTTCATACCTTGGGTCGACATATTCATGAGTGACCGCGTTGTCGGTTTGCTAAGGCGGCTTGGAGAAGGTCTTGTCGAGTTATCCGGATGTCGGGGAGGCGATTACTATTTTGTTTCAAACTTAACTTATGGTTGCGCGTGGAGCGACGTGGTTTGTCGCACGCTACATCTGGTCTGTTACGTCGAGCGTATGGTTTCGTGCCCAATTGACTGGTTTCCCGTGCTCTGCAGGTAACCATGGCGGACGAGCCGTGCTCTTCTGGACGCCCCGAACGGGAGGAACAAAGTGCCGATGAGGCGATGAGTTTGATCGACACTGTCGACGACCCTCTGTTGGACTGGGTGGGCACCGAGCCCAGAGGAATCGCGTCGATCTATAGCCGGCGTAACCGAAAGCCATATGTTGTCCTTGAGGCGGGCCACTGTCAGCCTGATTTTCAAAAGAATTTCGTTGTTACGCGTCTGATCTCTACTGCCCGGATCTGTTCGGTGTACCCTGAGTATAGCTTCCCCATGTACGAGATTGCGTTCAAAGATCTTGGGCTGCAGCTGCCCTTCAGTGACTTTCAGGCCGGGGTCTTCGCCCATCTGGGGCTGGCCCCGTTACAGCTACACCCGAACTCGCTCGCCTTTATCCGGGCGTTTGAGCTGACATGTCGCTTTCTGAGGATCGGGGCGACTATACCTCTCTTCTTCAGGATTTTCCATCTGCAGCGCCAGTCCCGAGGAGGGAAGCACAACTGGGTCTCCTTAAAACAGTCGAGGAGACTATTCAAGATGTACATGGACTCTGTGAGGGGTTTTAAAGACAAGTGGTATGTCATGAGACCGGTTACCACGGCTGCTTTGGAATCCCTGTACGAGGATGAGGCTCCAATGAGCGACGATGACGGGGAGGCGATCTTAGACACCGACGGGTATCCCGTGATGGCGCGCACGGCCAAGTTCCCTGTGCATTGGATGTTCAGGCACTACGAGCACGGTACTGGATACTATCATACCTCTGCGGGCGACATGTGTTCCGAGGATGAGAAGGCGTACGACACTCTTTGTCGGTTCGTTGACAGCTTCCACCCCGCCAGGTGGGCCACGAGGGAGGGGGAAGATGTCTTGGACGAGGAGGGCTATCCGACATTCGAGGCCCGACCGATCGATACTAAGGCACTCGTGGAGTGCCAGTCGTTCAGGCAGGCTGCTCGTCTACTAGGTCGTTTATTGCTTGAATTTCTTCGCTTGTCGTTTGTTTGCGTATTTGCTCGACACTAACCCGTCTTTTATTTTGTGCAGGTTCGATGGCCGGGCGACGGGAAAGACTCTTGAAGCTGTCTTGCGACCAGAAATGGGGCAGGAGGGTTGTGAAGGCTCCCCAAGCAACGAGGATGGGCCCGCCGCATAGTCCGGGCGCTCCTCATGTGGTGAGGGTGGATTCGTCACCCAGCTCGGGGACCGCGTCGGACGAAATCCCAGAGGTTCAAGAGGTCGAGCCACATGCCGACCTGATACAAAGAAAGAGGAACCAAGTGGAAAGCGGGCTGGCGGTCGGCGAGGACGCCAGCACCGTCAGGTCCTTCGGGTTGCCCCCTTGCTTCAAAGAGGAGGGTTTCTTCAAGAGATTCCCTCTGTCCGTGGTTGCCGATGAGGCTGAGACTATCAAGAGGATGAGTAAGGAGGATCGGAGGAGGAACCTGGCCGCCAACATGGTCGGGCTGGTGAAAATGGCCGAAATGGCCGTGGTGCTGTCCGAGGAAGGGGAGGATCCTGTCCGCATTGAAGAACTTGAGCAGG